GGTGTGACCATGCCCACATGGCCACGCAGCCCACTCCCAGTGCCCTTGGGCCTCCCTGGTCCTCCCTCTCAGCCAGTGGCCTCCCGCAGCGAACTTTCATCTTCAGCTTTAAATCCATGGACTCTTACAGCATGATGCATTTCGCGTGGGCTTCTTTCACTTGTGATGTCTGGGTGGTCCTTCTGTGGGGGTGCGGTGGCAGGGGCTTGCTCTTTTACTTTCCTAGGCAGGATTCCATTCTATGAACGTGTCCCAGCTCACTGTGCACCCCGCGGTTGGTGCACATGTGGGCTGTTTCCATTTCTTGTCACTTTGGATAAAGGAGCTATGAGCTTTCTTATGCAAAGTCTTTTGGTGGCTGGGTTCCAGGACATGCATCCGATGGTCAACATCCCATCTCATAGATGAGAAAACGGAGGCTCAAAAAATTTTCCTGCCTGGTTCCAAGTCTCAGAGTTGGGAATGGGCCTGGGATTCAAACCAGATGCGTGTGATGGAGACCTGCGCTCTGAGCTCTTGGTAGTGTCCACACAGGGCACGGTGCTTCAGCAGCAAAGTAGCCGAGGACCCCAGGGTTTCCAGGTGCAGGAGATATGTCTGGGTGGAGGGCCCAGTCCTCCTCCTCCTTGGCAGAGGGGCAGCTGGCTTATTCCAAGTAAGTTTCCAGCCTTCCCTGCTCCCGTCCTCTCTGAAGCCCACCTAAGCCCCAGCTGTGCGCATATGGCTGGAGGGAGCCCCCGACAGCTGTATTAAATGTCCCGGGGAAAGGCAGGATCTCTCGCCATTGGGGAAAATCCCTGTAAATCCTGTGACAAACAGCTCTAATCTGGTGTTTAATGCAGAGCCTGATGCAGGCTGCAGTGAGGGAGGGCGCACTGGCCCTGGGGAACACAATTGTGCCAAGGCTGGAGGTGCATTTGGCTCCCTTGAGGCCACTGCCCTGCTGATCCTAAGCAGGCAGCCAGTAGGGCACAGGTGGAGGCTGCTCCGCTTCTCCATACTACACCACATGGCTTGCTGGCCTTGGGGTGGGTGGAGAACAGTGAGATAATCACATGAAACCAGAGCTTGGCCCTGATGAATGTTAGCTGGCCTTAGTGTTTTCGGTTGTCTAAAACTGGGACGCTCTGTCCCACAGGCACCTTGTCTTGAGTACCTTATCGGAGACCCCAGGGGCCAGATCCATTTCAGAATTCAGAATCTGTTAGCTTTTACAACGTTAAATCAGTGCTTATGTTGTATGTCATTAGCAGCCCTGTGGGATCCTGGGCCAGACGGGACAGTGAGACTCATGAAGGTTTTTGCAGCCACCACGTGGCACACACAGCCATGAGGTGCCTTGCCTCAGCATGGGTGGCTTTGCTGATCACGGGCTTCAATTACCGATGCCACTCAGATGCACGGGACCTCAGCGTTCGCAAATTCAACTGCACATGCAGCACTGCGTGGGTGGCATGAGGGTGTGAGTGTGGCATGCATGTTGTGTATGTGACTTTGTGGAGTGTGTTGTATGTTATGTGTGTGAATGTGTGTTATAGATGCAGTATGTTATGTGTATTGTGTCATGTGTGCAAGTGTATATAATGTGTGTGTGGTATGTCTTGTGTTATATGTGCCAGTGTGTGGTATGTATGTGTGGTATATTGTGTGTTCAGTATTTACATGTGTTGTGTGTTGCATGTATGTGTGACGTGGTGTGTGGTGTGCATGCGTGTGTGGTGTGAGTTGTGTGGTGTGTGCATTGCATGTGTGTGCGCTGCATGTATGAGTGGTGTGCATGTATGTGCTGTGTATGTGGTATGTGTTGCATGAGTGTGTATGCGCTGCATGTTGTGTGGCACTTGTGTTGAATGAGTATGTGCTGCATGTGTGTGACATGCGTGTTGTATGTGAATGTGTGTTGTGTATGTGTTGTGTGTTGCATGAATGCATTGCGTGTGTTGTGCATGTGGGGGGGTGTGTTGTGTATGTGTTGTGTGTTGCACGTGTATGTTGTGTATGTGGTGTGTGTGTGTTGTGTGAATGTGTGGCGTGCATGTGAGAAGCTGCTGCTTTCTCAGTGGGTCCTGGTGAGCTCAGTCTGTCTAGTGAGTGTCTTTCTCAGGGAGGTTGGGGTCTCACCCCTGGAGAGGTGCGTTTTTCTCATGCTTATGCAAGGAAGGAATGGTCTGTCTGCATGGGGTCTGACTGGTCTGGCTTGTTGGGAACCAGCCAGAACTAGCTGGTCTGGCTTATTGGGAAGGTCCCAGGGCTGGGTTTGGGGCATGATTTAGTTGGTTTTTGATGGGTTTTGCGCCACGTGCTATCTAGTCAGCTAGTGACAGTAGTGATACTAGTGAAATGAAACATCCCACGGTGCCTTATTCGACTTTCATGATCACTCTGTAAGGTGCCTGGAAGTTTGCGTGCTGGCTGTCTAACCAATGGCGATCCAGGGGCTCATGGGCCAGGCAGCCTGAGATCATGCAGCAAGCCCGGCAGGCTTGGCTGGGACTCACACCCTCTGGGCTCCCAGGGCTGCTGGGGACCCTGTGACTTTGTCATCCACCACTGAGTCACAAACCACTCAGACTTAGGGGATGGAAACAACCACATTTATTCATTTCCTGCTCGTGAGCTGTAGTTTGGGGAGGGATCTGTGGGCACAGCTCATCTCTGCCCTGTGTGGTGTTAGCTGGGGTGGCTGTAAGCTTAGAGGGGACTTGATGGTGGAGTTCTGGAATTTGCTGCAAGTGTGTTTACTCACACGTATGGCATGGAGGCTGCTTGTTAACTGGAACCTTCATTAGGCTCTCTCATCTGAACCTCTGCACATGGTCTGCCTCATGGCTGTTTGGGCTTCCTCCCAGCATGGAGGCAGAGTTCTAAGCATACAGAGTGGACACTGGTGGCATTTCTATGGTCTAGTCTTTGCAGTCATTTCTGCTGTACCTTATTGGTTGAGACTGTCATAAACTTCCTTTTGAACCTGGGTACTGGTTCCCCACCACTTGACTGTGGGAGCATCAAGGTCACATCCCAAAAAGAGCATGCAGCCTGGGATATGTTGTGGTGGCCCCTTTAGAAAATGCAGTCGGCCACTGAGGCTACTGCCTGCCTCAGAAGCGTCCATCGTCTCTGGGGGATGTTCGGGTCCACTACAGTCTTCAGAACCCTCCTACTGGGACTCCAACCACTGCCTGGGCACCTCTGTGTATATCTCAGACCTCCTGGACCCTTTAGGCTGAAGATCCTGAGTGGCATTCTTGTTGATGATAATCTTTAAAATAATTTAAAATATAATTTATATTTGTTCATTTTTTAAACAGTATATAAATACAATTAAATTTATTTACTATAAATAAATTTATCAAAAGTAAATATAATTAAATTTATCATAAAGCTCCCATGGCAATCATATATTATATATCTATATGATTTTATGTTTTATTTATGTAAAAATTTATATATATTAATTTTTTATAATCATTATATGGAACAAATTCTATAATGAATATAAGCATATTTATATTTATTAATTAAAATATTTATATGAAACATTTTAGAATAAGTATAAAATTTACCACCGTAATTAGTGGTAATATAGCGCCCGCCTCTAAAGAAGATTAGACATTCTAACCATATTTGGGATGCTGTCTAAATACTGGTTTTTCAGAAGTAGTTTCAGTAAGAACCATGCCTCTTCCAGGAGGAAGGATTTTCTAGGGACACGTTTAGGGCTATTTCTGGGAGGTTTTAATGAGAGCCGTAGCTTATTTCCAGCACAATGGAAGTTACTGGCTGTGAAAGGGAGCGATGGGAAGATCTGCCATCTAAGGCTTCCGACTAGTGATTATCCTAAGTTAGAATGGTTAAGAGGTGGAAAAACCCCATAACAAGCATAGAAACAAACAAAAAGACTCCGCATAGGCTCGTGTATTGCCTCCATGCACGAATGGACCATTTGGTGTAATTTCTTCAAAAAGTCGTGGGCACCCAGAGCTGGAAGGAAGTAAGGAGACCAGGTAATCCTGCACATCTTAAATTGGGACGCGCACAGCCCCAGGGGTACATGGAATGGGAAGGGGGAGCCACAACATAAACACACTAAGCTTTGATTTTTCCTAGACGCCAAGTAATCCAAAACATTTCCAGTATTCAAACAAACATGGATATTCTTTGGAGTAAGATGTAAAATCTCCATAAGATTTTAGGATAAAACAGAAGACTTCAAAGAAATTCCACGCTGGCAGCAGGCTGGCCTGAGCTAAGATCACAGATGCCCTGTTCCAGCCTCGCCAAGTTACCAGTCTGCTTTCTCTGCTCAGGAAGCTGCATGCTCACTGGAAGGCTCTGCTCCAGCTCTCTGCAACATTAGCTTTTTGAGCATAAAGTGCTGGAAAAAAACAAAAAGAAAAAAGATAAAAAAGAGGGGGCTGTTGGTTGCCTGCTTCCATGAGGAGTCAGGGACGCGGCGTCCAGTGTTAGGTTGGTTCCTCTGGGTGTGAATACGTGCTGGATTCACAAGCCATAGTATGAAAAGAGGAGTGAACGAATCTTACTGATATTGATTACATAATGAAATGACAATACTGAAGTTATGTTGGGTTAAACAGATAAATCTCCTTGGTTTCTCCTTACATTTTTGACACATCTATAAAATTTAAAGTTATTTATGTGGCTTACATAGCATTTCTATTGGCTGCTTGGGTTAGAGCATATGGTGTTTCCTCATGTAAAGGATCATGCAACCCTGTCCTGCATGTAGCATCCTGGGAGACCAGCGTTTGGCAGACACGGGGTGGAAACATTGCTTTAGGTAAGAGCTGTCTCTTTATGGACCTCCACACACACACTGGGCTTTCTCCCCTCCACCCTTGTCCTGGTCCCTTCATGCTGGGCATTCCTACCTCCCTTGAAGGTCTCAGACCAGCCCGGCTTCCAACACAGCTCAGAGCCTTTTAGGGTCAAGAGCATTCTTTGTCCCACACCCCCGCACCCAGCTCCCAGTGAATCCCTCCTTCTTGAAAATCTTCCCGTACTCACTCTTTCAGTAATTAATGTGGTGATTCAATAATTCACCCCCCAACAACCTCAATTCTGTTTTTTGTTAAACATGGTTAAAAATAGCAATGACCTGGCCCTTTTGTTGTTTCTTTGGGATTGCTCTAAGCCTCTCATTGCACAGGGGAGGCTGACGGGGAGGTGCTTGCTCAGACTTCTGTCTGAAGTTGGCAGGAAGGCCAGACCCTGATGGGGAAATCAGGAAGCCTGGTCGTGCCTCACTTGTCCCAACTCTCAGTTCACTCCATGTGTGGGGCTGGAGAGTCCCAGTTTTTCACTATGGTCCAACACCCTGGGGCAGAAACTGTTGGTTTCCAACCCCAAAGCCCTGCTGAATGCCTTTCTCCAGCTACAAAGACAGGGTGAGCCGGATACGTGCATTCTCAGTGTTGCTTGCAGCCAGGGTGCCTAGTGACCCTGTTCTGGTCAATAACTCAATGGGAAGTCAGCAGGGGCTTTCAGGGAAGAGGTTTCTTCTTGCATAAAGGAAAGGAAGCCATGTGAGGGCTCATGCAAAGAGGTCCTTTTTTGCTATCCCAGCCCTGCTCCACTTCCTGCCATTGAATATAGTTGAGGTGGTTGCTGTTGCAGCAGCCACCTTGTGACCATGAGGTGATAGCCCAAGGGAGAAGGTGAGAACAGCAGAGTAGAAAGACAGAAAGGGCCTGGGGAAGGATGGCACGGCTGTGGTGCCAAGCCAACCCCAGAACGACCTATTTATTGGCTTTTAAAATTCAGATACAACACTTACACTTTATCATTGAAACCATCCTTCGACCTTGCACCGGAATGCCTCCTGATACACACTCCACAGTACTGCAGAGAGAAAGAACTCATGCAATAGCCAAAACGTGTAATATAAATTCATGTTACCACTAAGCCAGAGAGTGGCGGTCTCACTGTCCCAAAGCATTGATCGGTGTGATTTAAATGGCCACAGCAACTATAGCTTCTTGAAGCCAAGCCTGGGAGCACTTCGTGAGCAGTATCTCACTTAAACATCTCAATGGCTCTGTGAGCCAGCCGCTGTTCCTTCCTCTACTGTGCAGAGGAGAGCACCATGGTGTGGAGGGGGAAAGTAGGTGTCCAAAGTCACACGGCCCTGCCATCTCTGAGCTGGAGGAGCCCAGTCTCAGCCCAGACCCTTAACAACCAACCTCTCAGTGCTTCCAGTGTGTCTTGTCTTGGAGACAAGGCTGATGTACACTCCCAGCATACATCCTCTCCAAGAAATCCCAGCACAACTGTAAAAAAAAAGAGGAAAAGAAAAAAGAGGAAACCTCTTTTTCAAGCAAGATGCTGGTTCCATTTTTCAAACAACACCAGTTCCCCACTCCCAGGCAGGCCACCTACCATCGATCTGGGGCAGCATCAAAGATGTCCGGTGTTGTAAGTTTTTCTTTCCTGCAGGTAGGCAGTTTCTAAATGGACACATCACATTTTTGATCTGAAAATAACATATAAAAGACATTAAAAGAAGAAAAAAGTTCAGTAGGTCTATGGGGCTTTCCCTCATGCCAATAAACAAGGGAGGCAGGACCAGCCGACTGACCTCCAAACGTGAGACGTGCTCATCAGGGAAGCCGGGGAAGGTTCCCGAAAAGGAAGTTAGTTGTGTTCAGATTTAGCTGGAATGAAATACGGAGTCACTTTCTAGTCTGAGATAAATGCGGGGGATGAGTCAGTCTTCTGGAGAGACATGAGGTGAATTTGCTCTGTTCCAGAGATATAACCCAGTGTTGTAAGTATCCTTTGCAGTGTAAGTCTTCAGCGGAACAGAGGCATGAAATGGGATCTTTTCAACCAGTGGTTCAGTATTTTTTCTCTTATTGGTACAATCAGAGTTCCCAAGAACCACCTCCCCAAAGTGTTCTTGGTTTCAAGTGGGAACACTGCAGAGTTTCTTTTAACACTCAAAGAACAAGAGAGTGACCATATATATTTTTAAAGGTTAATTTTTTAAGTGGTAGAACGAATGTAACTTGATTCTGAAATTGAATGCTGGTAATGACAGCAATATTGAGCATTTTAAGTGCTTGCTGTGTGCCAAGAATTTTGAAAAGTGACATGGACATTAGCTCACTACATCCTTACAAGAATTTTTTAAGTTGGTTCCAATTATTATCCCTATTTTGCAGATGAATAAACTAAGGTTTAGGTGACTTGTTTGAGATCACACAGCCAGCGTTGGAAGAATTTGCATTTAATCTTAGGTCTGTCTGACTCCAGAGCTGTGTTCTTTAGACACGAATCTATTTTGAAATAAAGTGTCTTACTTGGGGTCCCCATAAGCATGGACCCTGAGACAAGGATTTTGATGCAAGGGCTTTATCTGGAAGGGCCCCACAGGAAGTGCAGGTAGGAAGCTGGGAATGAGAAGCAGGAAAGGGTCAAAAGCCGGTGCTGGGCACGTCCCTGAGCAGGTTTTTATTTTGGGCAATTGAGGCTCAATCCTGCTCGGGGCCACCGGGGGAATGGCTAGAAAGTTTTCCACCTGGGGGCTGAGGAAGCTGCATGGTACCCTCCGACCCCTCCTTCTGTCCTGGAGCCCCAACCAGCCCAGCAGTCCCAACCTGCCCCTGCATGCTCTCCCATGCCCCTTTGCCAGCAACCCTGGCAGAGGCTGGCGTGTGCTCGTGGTAGAGAACTGTCAGCGTGCACAGGGTAGGGTGTTCTAAGGAAACCTGGGCCAGCAGTATCAGCTGCGTGATGCCATGATAACAGAAACTGCAGTCCAATATGCCCAGTAGGAGGACTCACAATGCAACATTTTGACTTATTTTTGCAGAATTTTAAGTCCTGAATAGTAACAATTCACTCTCACTAGAGTTTGTGTAACTTGGGGATGGCTTGATTTTAGAATGCTTATTAACAAAATCGATGGATAATCAGATTATCTCAAGAGGTGTTCAAATAAACACCCATTGCTATTAATACTGGTGAAGAAGAATCCTCACCAGCAGGATCTAAAAGGCTGTCTTCCAGATCAGGAGTTGTGTTCAGCTGAGCACCACAGTAGTGCCTGTAATCCCAGCTACTCAGGAGGCTGAGGCAGAAGAATCGCTTGGACCCGGGAAGTGGAGGTTGCCGTGGCAGAGATTGTGCCACTGTACTCCAGCCGGGGTGACAGAACCAGACTCCATCTCAAAAAAAAAAAAAAAAAAAAGAAAAGAAAAGAAAAAATTGTCTTGAGTAAACCATGCTTAGCTCTGAATTTTCTGTGCGATCTTGGGCAAATATGGTGGATTATATTCTCTTTTAGCAAATGCTCACTCCCTTCTCCCACCTCCCCAGGAGGAATACATTTTCTTAGAAGTTACTGTTGTACTTGGCCTTGTAAATCACGTTGGCTGCTGGGATGTGGGGGCACATGACAGAGGCTGATTCTGAGCCTGCGTCTTAGGAGAGATCTTGCATTTCTGCTCACTCCTCTGAGAGTTTGATCTCCCCAAGGTTTCCTCCTCTTCTCCTGTCAAGTGCGTCCTTGCCCCCATGGCCCCTCCCACTCACGGCCCCACCTCCCACCAAGCAGTGTGTGGCAGGCTGAGTCGAGTCCGCCCAGAAGACGTCCACGTCTTCATCCCCGGAGCCTGTGAATGTGACCTTGTATGGCAGACTTAGAAGATGCAATTAAATCAGAGATCTTGAAAGAGGACGATCCTGGATGACCCAGGTGGGCCCTGAAGGTTTTCACGAATGTCCTCCTAGGAGGGAGGAGGAGGGTGAGAGCACACGTGCAGGGGAGGACATGTGACCACAGAGGCAGTGGCTGGAGCGCGGCAGCCACAAGCCGAGGACACTGGCAGCCACCAAACCTGCAAGAAGCCAGGGAGGGTTTCCTCTTAGAGCTTGAAGGTGTGCAGCCTTGCTGACGCCTTGATTTCGGCCAAGTGAAATGAATACTGGACTCCCGGCCTCCAGAACTGTGAGGGAATAAACAGTTATGGCAACAATAGGAAATGAATAAACATGGTAACAACCTAGTGCATGTCCTCCATGTTTGCATTCCTACTCAACAATCTGACCTCTACATGCATATACAGAGGATTTTGGAGTGAAATTATGTAAACTAGGCCATGCAGCTTATACTTTCCTTTTCTTTTCTTTTCTTTTTTTTTTTTTTTGAGACGGAGTTTCGCTCTTGTTACCCAGGCTGGAGTGCAATGGCGCAATCTCGGCTCACTGCAACCTCCGCCTCCTGGGTTCAGGCAATTCTCCTGCCTCAGCCTCCTGAGTAGCTGGGATTACAGGCACATGCTACTATGCCCAGCTAATTTTTTTGTATTTTGAGTAGAGACGGGGTCTCACCATGTTGACCAGGATGGTCTCAATCTCTTGACCTCGTGATCCACCCACCTCGGCCTCCCAAAGTGCTGGGATTACAGGCTTGAGCCACCACGCCCGGCCCGCTTATGCTTTTCTATATCGTCCCTTCCCTGGCTGTGCGAACAGCGCCGTAAACATCCTCATGCACATGCCTGTGTGCTCTTCAGGGTCCCCGTACATTTCAAGGTTGCATGCGTTTCTTAGCTGACTCAGGGTTACTTTCATCTTTTATCTCCTTTGTCCGATACCGGGAGGGAGGGGATGGCCCTGCAGATCCAGAGACCTTTTTCTTTTGCTTAAAGTGTAATGAATCTATGGTGAACTGTGTATGGCTCATGTGATTTTAAGTGTACCCCTCAATAATTTTTTTTTTTTTTTGAGACAGACTCTTGCTGTCACCCAGACTGGAGTGCAATGGTGTGATCTTGGCTCATTGCAATCTCCCCCTCCTGGGTTCAACTGATTCTCCTGCCTCAGCCTCTCAAGTAGCTGGATTACAGGTGCCTGACAATGTGCCCGACTAATTTTTTTTTTTTTTTTTTTTTTTTTTTTTGAGACAGAGCCTCACTCTGTTGCCCAGACTGCAGTGCAGTGGCATGATCTCGGCTCACCATAACCTCTGCCTCCCAAGTTCAAGCAGTTCTCTTGTCTCAGCCTCCCCCGGTGGCTGGGATTACAGGCGGACACCACTACCGCCTGAGTAATTTTTGTATTTTTAGTAGAGACATGGTTTCACCATGTTGGTCAGGCGGGTCTTGAACTCCTGACCTCAAATGATCCATCCTTCTCAGCCTCCCAGAGTGCTGGGATTACAGGCATGAGCCACAGCTCCAGACCTCCAAATAATTTTTGTATTTTTAGTAAAGATAGCATTTCAGCATGTTGGCCAGTCTGGTCTTGAATTCCCAAAGTGCTGGGATTACGGGCATGAGCCATCACTCCCGTCAGTTCAGTAATTTTTCATGCAAATATACCTACATAAGCACCTCTCAGATGAAGGGGTAGCTCGTATCAAGAAGCATCTCAATCACCCCAAACCTCCTTCCAGCTCCTGCTTCCCAGGTGACATTTCCATCAGAATTTGTATATGTGTGTGTGTGTGTGTGTGTGTGTGTGTGTATCATTTTATTGCTCAGGCTGGTCTTGAACTCTTGAGCTTAAGTGATTCACCAGCCTCAGCCTCCCAAAGTGCTAGGATTACAGGCATGAGCCACTGCACCTGGCCTCTTAATGTTATATTTCACTTGACAAGTAATAACTGTATGTAGTGATGTTCCCATGCGTATAATGTATGGTGATCATATCACGGTAATTAGCGTACCAGTCATCTCAAACACACCTCATGTCTGTGTGTTGGTGAGACAGTGGACAGAGGAGGGATGGGGCCTGGCCTCAGCTCTCCCCAACTAGATAATTCTTTCCTGAATTCCTACTAATCACAAACCCTGCACCACTACCTCACTGACAGCACATGAAGAAAATGGCCATTCTCTATTGTTCTTTGCTCTCTTCGTGTTTAACCATGCCTTTTACTGACAGAATTCCGGAAGCTGGCCTTAGGAGATTCAAAACTGAGCCAGTGTTGTGGCGTGTCCCATCTTGGGAAGGAACGATCTGCAGCCTTGTTGTGGCCAGCCAGACCACCAGTGGCCCATTACTCAAGAAGAATATCACAATCAGATATGCCCACCTGCATCCCCTCCCCATCCTGTGCTTTGCCCAGCCTGGCCTGCATATCTTACCTGTGAGGTCAATTCCTGTGCTTTGCCTAGTAAAAAAATCCCTACCAGTGTTTTCCAGGATGTCAGCCGGGGGATCCTTGTGCCTCTGCTATATCCCTTGCATTCAAGCACGAGCTCTGAAATGAAAGCCTTCTCTGGTAAATCTGCTTGGTGTGGCATTAATTTCCATGACGTGGGCGGCCAAAGAGCCTGTAGTCTGTAACATTGGAAACACTCAGTATCTTCCTTCTAACTATTTGAAACTACATGTTATTATTAACTACTGAGGTCCTACAGTGGTATACTTCTCTAATCTAGACCAGAGGGCTTTCTATTGTATGTTCTTGAACTGTGTATAAGTGGAGTCATACAGGGCATAGTCTTTTCCGTCTGGTTTATATGCTGCACACAACGTCTGTGCATATCACCCGCCAGTTAGTTACCTGCTTGCAGAGTTGTAGGCATATGCGGTTTCCAGAGTCTGGTACGTTGACTAAAACTGCTGTGAACATGCTTTGTCAGCATCTTGTGTACACGTGTTCTCATTTCTCATGCGTACATACCTACGGGTAGAATTGTGGAGTCACAAGGGAGCTGTATATTCAGGTTTATGAAAACTAGCAGTTAACCAAAATGATGGCTTTACCCCAGCAACGTATGAGGGCTCTGGTGTCTGTGCTTTCATAGCAATTGGTCCAGACAGTCTTTTTGGGCTTTAGCTGTTCTGGTGGGTGAGCAGTGTTATCTCAGTATTTGCATTTCCCCGATGAAAAATGA